CTCTAATCTCACGCAGACCCTAGCTCTAAGTCTCTCCCTCTCGTTCGATCACAACAGTAAGAAGAGAACTCTTTCTCTCATGCTTTTTTCCTTCCTATCACCATAATCTCCGATCACCATCATCCCCCGCACTACCATCGCCATCAACCGTCGCCCCATCGGCCGTTGTCCATCACCCCCCACGACGCCTTGATCGCTACCGCTCACGAGATCATCGGCAGTCCCGACGAGTCTTCACTTTCACGATTAATAGACGTCATCCGTGACCCTCGGCGATCAACAACCCCACCTCATCTCCATAGTACGTTTCTTGTTCCAGTTCGATCACCGCATGCAAGTTCCCGGCGTGTTCCCGCTGTTCGTCGCGCGTACTTCCGCCAGCGAGCCGCCGACCCCCGCCTACGCACGTGTAACAGCCTGTCTCGGCCTTTGTTTCACTTTGTTGTTGTGTGTTAATCCCGAGAACGGTATCGATGGCTTGAACCCTATTATTTTATGCGATTATATATGCGTTCATATGTGTATTTTACGAGATTTATGTTAATATGCTAGGGTCAAATGAATTCGTTGGATTTATATGTGATTGTTTATGATTGTTGTCGAGTTCATGATATGTCATGAAAATTTAAACCCCTACCATTGTTATCGTGTGTTATGATGAGGAGAATGGAGTTAAGTGTTGTTTTGTGAAAAACATGAATTTAATGTATCACATGTTATGTTATGATCATGGTTTTCCAGCCTCTGTTGCACTGCTATAATGACCCTGAATAACTCATTATTTGAAGTTGTCATCTTCATATGAATCGTAGTATTTTCTATTGGCTTTCTCTGGGCTTTGGAGTCATGTAAAATGAGTAAGTTATGATTTTTACAAAATTATTGGCGAACAATTTTCGGTAAAAAACCCGGCAGCAAATATGTTCAATGTCTGATCTGTTTACTATGTCTTAATGTGCTCAAATGTGAAAGTGATCTTCATGAAGGTTATAGGTCTGTTGCTTAGCTTTATAATGAGGTAAGATTCATGCTGATATCATGCTATAGCTCGAGTTAGGTTAATTTGAGTTCAGACATGCATGAGATGAGTTTTGAACTTTTGACAGGAAACTGATTCTAATGTTAACTGCTTGTACACCTTATTAATGACATTAGTTGTTGCTATGTTCTAAATGAGAGTTGTAGCGCTCCTCTTAGCTTTCTAAGGATGCTTGAATCATGTCATTTGGAGGTTTGTAGCATGATTTAGATGATAAATACTGAGGTGTTGTTTGTAACATGAGTTGGTTTCTAGCAGTTTTTATGAACCGAATGTTTTATGTTTAAACTCAATGATAACATCATTATTTGCCAATAAAGTCTTCAGCAAAGTTGTAGATAATTGAGTTAGCTGACTTGTGTTTTTTAATCTCATTAAAATCATGTATGTAGCTTTATTTATCCTGCAATTACTGAAGTCCTGTCATCTGTATGATTTCAATTGTAGACTGCAACTCTAATTTGGATGTTTGATGAATTATCTTCTGGTAAATGGCCTTATTTGTTTTCGATGCCTTCATGGAAAATATAGAGGCATGTCTTAGGGTTCAAATGAGACTTGAATCACATTCACATGAGTTATGTTATGCTGTTATCTTGATTTTAAAGACGCTGCTCGGGTTAGTTTTTGAAAAACTTATGTGATATTTCTGGAAATGGGATTTCCTTGTTAAATGCATGCTTAGATGCTTATGTGAGCTTAGTTGGATTAATTGATTGTGATGGTTTTTTGCTCATGCGTCGAATAGTCATTTATAGGGTTATTTTATTAAATGTAGGTGCTTGACGAGCCGAGCTTGCCGCCTACACGTATTGTTGTTCTATCTCTTGCTTTTGACTAGGTGGATTTGTTATTCTAAATTTACTATGCCATATGTGTTTCCATTTGTTGAGTCGGTATGATCAATGTATGCGTGTGAAATATGTAGCCTATCGATTAGAGTTGTTAAGGCCATCGATACGGTTGTCCTCGTCGATGTAATACGGTTGCCCTTTGCGAGGCAAGTCTCCTTAAGTCCTGATATGACCGTGCCCTTGTGAGGTACGTAAGCCCATATGGAAGGCCGTGTCCGTAGCGTGGCATGTATTCTCGCCTTCGGGTAATGAATCCCCATTCTGCGGCTAGCGATAGATGTGCACAGGAGTAATGCGAATTGGTGTGATATTGATAGGAGATGAGACATGATGTTATCATTTTGTGTTCATGCTGCGACCATACCATCTTAACATTATATTATTGTATATGTGCATAGTGGTGAGCACTACGGTTTCATTTGTGCTCACTCCCACTTGCTCTTCACGGATGCAGGTTAAGCAGGTGTCGGGTGACGAGAAAAAGACGAGTGGGTCGGTCTATTGATTATTTCTTTTTTATTCTTCCACTTTCGAATAAATGTGTGGTCCTTGTGAACCTCCTTTTGTTGAGACATGTTGAAACCGTTTTTAAAACTTATGTTTTTGAATTGTTGGACCAATGGTTGTTGGGATATTCATGTTTGAATTCTCACTTGAATATCATGTGGTTTGATTATGCATGCTATGATGTTTAGCTAATCATCATGTGAAAATGTTGTTTTGTCGGTTAATGAAAACCATGTGAAAACCGGGTAATGAATCCCCGTGCGACCAGATACGACTTGGTTGATGTAAATGTTTTGAATAATGCCCATGTTTTCGAAACTTAGTTCGAAAAATGTTAACTGATTTTTGTTTTTTTTTTTTTGGAAAGCCCGAGATTTCTTTAAAATCAAAGTGGGGCGTTATAATTAAGAACTGAATTAATTAGAACTACTTTACCTGCTGATGAAAGGTATTTATTCTTCCAACTGAGAACTCTATTCCTCACTGCCTCTGCCACAAACCCAAACACCTCTCTCTTAGACTGCCCAATGCCTAAAGGCAATCCCAACTACATTGAGGATCTCTAGACTTGATTTACAGGAAAGATTTGATATACATCATTTTGGACTACCAACTTGTATACTTGCTAAAAACAATTGAAGATTTTGCAATATTGACTTTTTGCCCTGAGAACTTTTGGTATCTAGCTAGATTAGAATCTAGCACCTGTGCTTGGTAATCATCTGCCTTACAAAAAATCAGAGAATCTTCAGCAAAGAGCAAATGAGTAAGAATAGGAGCTTCTTTAGCCAATGAAACACCTATGAACACCCCTTTCTCCTCTTCAACAGTAATCACAACAAAAAGAATCTCAGAAACAAGTATAAAAAGTAAGGAGAGAGGGGGTCCCCATGTCTTAAGTCTCTAGAAGCTTAAAAATACCTAGCGGTGCGACCATTGAGGATAAAAGAAAATAACACAGTAGACACACTCCAGGATCCATTTGGCAAACTGATAAGCGAACCCCATTTTGAGCATTGTCTGACCAATACAAGTCCATTCTATTCTGTCACAGGCCTTTATCATATCCAATTTACTAGCCATATAGTTATGCTTCCAAGCTCTGTCCTCTATTTAAAAATGCAGCAGTTCATTATCAATAACCACATTATCACTCAGCTGCCTACCAGGTAAGAAAGTAGATTGAGCATCATTCACACAACCATGGATACAATTCCTCGGTCTACCAGCTAGAATCTTTTAGACCAGTTTATAAACCACAACACACATGCTTATTGGCCTATTGGCTATGGTATTCAATATTAGAACATTATGGAACAAGAGTTATCAGTGTATGATTCCAATAGTGAAGCAATTTACAAAAGCTAGCTACAACATTGGAAAGATCACCTCTAACTAAGGGCCAAAAGTGTTGAAAAAACAGTGCAGACCCATCAGCTCCTGGAGATACTGGGCTAGCAGGTAAGTCAGATTAAATGTAAAAGCTGAGTAAAAATATGGATGAGATTCATTTTGATAGAGGTACCACACAGGCAATAAAATAGATATCAAAATGAGACTTCTAACCATGGTTCTCAAAACACAAACCGGTTATAGAACCGATGAAGCTACTGATTCAAATTTTTTATTTATTTTATATGTATAATATATAATTATATATATTTTATTATTAATTTTATAATATATGACATTTCTCTAAATAAGAGCTGAATAATATTTACAACCGACAATGTTGAATATGGTGTTAACCTTCTCTTTTAGTTTTATATTTAAAATTTTGATCTCTATTTAATTAACAAAATAGAGAGATAGAAACAACCCAATTTCATTTTAAATCGCATTTTAAATTTTTTATTATTGATTAAAAAATAAGAATAATGTGCATAACAAACAATAAAATAAATTGCTTCTTTTTTTTAAAAAAAAATTAGGAATAAATATAATCCAATAGTTAATCCAATTCAAATAACAATACATATTTTTAATTAGAACAATTTTTACTTGTTAGGCCCAATATTGACCCAATAATTTAAACAAAAAAACATATCCAACATAAAAAATACAAGTAAAAAGTGTATTATTTAAACCACTTCATAATCTACCAAATTCAAATCATAAGCTTGAATAGATGAACCATTCGAACCAATTCCGGTTCACTGGTTCAGATGGTTTGACCGGTTCGAACGATTCTTGACCGGTTCTCCAACATAGCGGTCTAAATGCTCAAACCGGACAGAAATGAAAGCTAGTTCCCAATTGAACCGGCCGGTCCGATCCGATTTTCAGAACAATGCTTCTAACATCTATTCAACATTTAAACACCAAGCCCTCATCTAACAATAATGAATAATAATAATAACATAATAATAATCAAACCAAAACGGAAATCTATCAAAAAGAGAAACAAGTGCTGTCGCCCGACACGGGCCACCCTACCCATGCTTCTAATTATTTCTGACACTAGCAAAATGTAAACAAATCCCAAGAATTTAATTCCCAGCGTCCATTTATTTCTTTTCTTTTTTCAGAAAAAAAAAAGAAAAAAAAAAAAGAAAAAGCCCCACTCATAACCTAACAAATGTAGGATCGATCACAAGTTCCTAGGAGATAGACGAGTTCCCGAGCGTGGAGCTATTACCGAGGGAGTCGTTGCTGCTGGCAGCCTCATCCGAGGGCATAATCGGTATTTTAACGGCGGCCCTCTCCATCTCCTTCTCCAGCTCCTCCTCTTGTCTTAGAGCCGTGAATTGAGTGTCTAATGATTTGGCTGCCCCAAGCCATGCAAGCACAATCACAAGGAGGACACCTCCTAAATATGGAGTCGAATTCGCAAGTGACCCAAAGGTTAGGATCATGAACTGCTGGATTAATGCACCTCCCGATTTCCCAAGCGGGTTGCAAACCACGTCAATTGCTGCTTTCCCTTTCACCTGATTTCAAAACACAGTCAATAATAAGTTGGTAATCACTGGACACTGGAAGTAAAAGAAAAAAAAAAGGTGAAAATCATGAAAACCTTAGTATCCTCGTCCAGAGGAATGTAGGCCATCTCCTTGCAGGGGTCGAATAAGCTGTACTTGGCACTCTTGCTGAAGATGTTCTGCATGGCCCCCACGTACACGGCAGCCAAAAGTGGGGTCATTCCGAATTTGGCGAGAGCAGGGGCAAAAGGGTCACCAAACAAGATGAGCGAGAAAAAGCCAACGCCCGTGAGGAGCAAGACGGTGGGCGTGATTTTCGCAGCCACACCCCACCCGTACTTGTTGAATATCCACTGGCTCAAGAGCATCATCGTGAAAGTTGCTATTCCAGTTGCAGTCGAGAAATCGCCCATGAAGGATGAATATTCGTTTGGTGTTGGGAACTGTTGTACATATTCAAAACTTCAGAAGTTCAAAAAAAATAATAAACAAAAAATACACAACAAACTGAATTGCACTTAACACCCTCACCAGGGGGATAGCTTTTCTGTTTGCCAACAGATTTCCTTATTATTGTTTTACCTGAGCTTTGAGCTTTGATTTCCACGTAACCTCAACAAGGTTAATACTGATGCCATATGCTACGACCAAAGTTGCAAGATCTCTAATGTATCTTTTAGATGCCAAAAACTTCAAGCTCTCAGCTGTCCCCATTTCCACCCTCTCCTGTAAGAAAACAAGAGAATACAGCCAATGAGAAATATCAAAGAAGCCAACATAATCTCCTAATAGTAGGAAGATCAAGACAAAAATCCCAGGAAACTGTTACAACAAGTACCCTGAGTGGAAACACTAAGATAGTGCTTCATGAAGACTTTTTTGCTTTAAAACAAAAACAGAGAGAGAGAGAGAGAGAGAGAGAGAGAGAGAGAGAGAGAGAGAAATAATAAGTTAGAAGTTAGTCATTCAGAAAAGAGAACAAAAACAAAAATCGCTAAAGATTGAAACACATGGAAGGAGAATGGTTTTCGAATAAGCTTTCGTAGGAAGACAGAAAATATTATTAGCAAATGGTCTAACCTTAGAATCAGAAATTGAGGATAAGATGTCAAAAAAATGAGCTTGTTTCTATTGTAAAATGACAATAAGCACTTCTACAAAAATAAGAAGCACTGTACCCCAAACCCATGCTTTTAGTACTAACTAAATGAAAAATAAAAAACGCGGGAATACTATAAATATTTTTTTATTTTTTCTTAAGCCTATAAGCTGCCAAGCAGTTCTTATAAATACTGCGAACACTTTCCAAGTAGTCCCGTTCTTGCAACAACAACAACATAGCCTTTTAGTCCCAAACAAGTTGGGGTAGGCTAGAGATGAAACCCAAGAAAACCAATGGTAAGAGAAACACAAAAAGGGCTCAAAAACAAAAGGAAGCGATTGGAACAAAACAGAAAGGAGCAAAAGTCACTTCAAGAAGAATTTCAAGAAAGGCCTGCCTTAACCATTGCTTAAAAAAACCACACTAGATACATACATCTTTATAAATAAGATAATAAGTCAGTAGAATACTGGTAAAAGAAATGTAAAAAAAAAAAACGTCTCCGTACCTTCTTCTTCAAACTACGTGTCGGAAGAGGAACATTGTGATTCACCCACCAGTAAAAAAAGCAAATCATAAGGCCCATCCCCACCACAATACCCATCATCCCCTTCAATGATATGGCCCAACCATCGACACCCGGCCCCAAGTTTTGCCTCATCTGAGAAAAGTATTTCACAGTTCGGCCCGAGAAAATGAGGGCGACATTTGCTCCAAGACCAAACAGGGGATAAAATTTTTTGGCTTCATCAACAGTGGTTATCTGCAAAAGAGGTGATGCAGCAATATTACTGAGTTGTTCTCCGGATGATAATATAATCAAATATATGCAAACCACTTAAATTTAATGTGAGTGCATCTACGAAGGCCAAGAAGCATCACAAATCACAAACTGCACTAGAGAGAGAAATAATCACAGATCGGAAGCCGAAGCTATAATTGGAAAAGGCAACCTCAGAAGTCTTTACTGTTGATGGAAAAAACAGTAATTTTCAAAATTACAAATATCTAACCAACATTTTTCTTCTTCTACAAACCGCACCCTCGGTAAGGGTATTTGTTAGGTAAATGCAAAACTTAAGGGGACATTTGGGTTTGAAATGTAAATGAAGTTAGGATAGGAAAACAGCAGAAAGAAATGAATCAATAAATATATCACTAATTAAGCATTGGGAATCCAGCATAACTACATGAAGAGATATAAAAAAGCAAGAGGATGCTTTATTAAGATTCAACACAGATTCATAATGACGGGAAAGAAATAGCAGTTTCAGATTAAATTACACAAAACAATCATATTCATCCTTATATAGGCAATTTTTTACACATACAAGACCCTGGAGTTAAATAATATAAAGTCTCATCTGAAGAAGAATAAATATATAAATATAGCTTCACACCATCTCATTGTAATCCATACACAACATTAACCTAAGTGCCCATCAACATAAAATCTTGAATAAGGCAAACAACTAGATAACAACAATGTCAACAAGTCTAGAATCTTGAATTACTAACATGCTTCCAGTGGTATGATAAACTGAAGTATTACCTGATTAGCAAACCCCCAAAACAGGACAGACACAACCACACTGCCCCAGAGCTCAGCCATAACATAGAACAAGCAGAAACTCCAAATCCTCATAATAGCAAGTGGCCCAAGAAACCTCGGGCCCAATATGTTCAAAAGCTTATCAGCAAGAGCTGTGGGGTGAAAATAATGGCTCAGAGGGTACAGCACAAACCCAAATGCCCCAAAGAAGGCAATAAATGGCAGAATAACAGAGTAAAAAAGAGCATCTTTTGACAACACATTAGCCAACTTAGTGTACAGCAGCATAAACCCAATAGCCATTGGCAAATTCACCCATGTTTTCAAGAAAGGTATAATCTCAGCACTTGAACCTTTGGCCGTCACAACCAAGACATCCTTAGTGTCCCTCAGAATTGTGTAATTGAACAGAATGCAAAAAAACATCATCCCAAGGGGTAATATCTTTTTTAAGGTCACAATCTCAATGCCCATAAATTTTGGCTCTTCTTTTGCTCCATACGGGGATTGTCCATCGGGTGAAGCTGCAGCAGCAGCAGCAGCCTCAGCCCTACAAACAGGAAAATTTCTAGGCTTTTTTTGAGTGACAGATTGAGGTTTTGCCACAAAGCCTTGCAACTTTGAGAACCCATTAACGGATAAAAGAGATGGCTTGCTATTGAGATTGAGTGTGCTTGATTTTGACAGAGGGTTTAAGGGGGTGAACCTGAGCCTCAAATCACATGAGGGTTTTGCGAGAAAAGCTCTGTTCTTAGGGTTTGAAGGTAAACAAAAAACGCCCTTTGACTGCAGAACTCCCTGCATTTTTTTCTTCAAACCCTCTGGAAAAGTTTTCCAAAATGAAGAGCTTTTATGAAGCTTTGATTTTTCTTATGAAATGAAAAGCAAGTAAAACGAAGAGATGGGCTGAGGAAGATAAGGTTGGGTGATGGAGCAGAGCAGAGAAGATAGGTTTTTTTTTTTATATATATATATTTCTTCCTCTCTATTTTGCTCGGAGGCTCTGAGGAAGCTGCACAAATATCTTTATACCATCATATGTCAGGGAGAGATGAAAAAAATGAAAACCCTTGTTTTTGACGCAGACAAAATTAAGAAATGATAATACTAAATAATAATAATATTAATTAGTGCACAATAAGCCAACACTACTCTTGCTGTGAAATTCTTGGTGTCAGGGGTTTTTACATTAAATTGCCTATTATTATTTAGGTCTAAATACATAAATAAGCAATTCTTCCACTTGATGTTTTTGCCATCGATAATCTCTCTCAACTTGGTCAAAATAAAAAAATTCTTGGGCCAAGGGCGAGAGCGACTTGAGAGAAAAAATAAGGGCACCAACCACAAAAGTAGTGGCAATTGTATATAAAGAAATATATAATTTTTTTACACCGAAAAGTATTTTATTAAAATATAAATAAAAAATTATATAAAGTATAAAATATTATATTGTTTTTTAATGATATGGTAATACAACTAAAAATAAAATATGATCGTCACTACGTATTTTTTTTATTTTTAAAAGAAAATACGATCCATTCTCAGAGCAATTCCGATGGTGTAGTTGAGTAAAACTTGCTAAAAGGCCAAATTTTCGGTGTAATTTGCTCTGCATTGCTTTGATGTTGTGTACAATGTGGCATTGTATTGTTATCAAAAGTTACTAATAGTGCCTTGGATCTATTCACATTCTTGACAATTAAGGGAACCAAGTATGTGTATTGTGTACTATTTTCTTTTTACGCCTATTTATTTCTCTAGATCTATTCATATTCTTGGCAATTAAAATATACAATAAACACTCTGATGGTTCTTCTCCAAGATCTGGAGTGAATCGGTTGAAATGAGCTCTGATCTGTCTAGATCGCTTCTAGACCGCCGCGAATACCTGCAAGAACCCAACGCCGGGAGAGGTCCCAACGTCGGGCCTCCGACGCTCAAGTCAGTAAACAGAAGAGAGGAAGAGGAAAGCTCTGTAGTCTAGAGCTGGTTATACCTTAGTCCCATTTTATAAAGGAAATACTTTCCCAAAAATACCTGCACGGACTGCCCTCGGTCAGTCTGCCCGTACTGCCAGAGATTTGATCTTATCTGTATCTTAATCACATTTGAGTCATCATCATATTCCTTCTTATCCATTTACTGCCTCTAGATCATGCTCTTGTAATCACAGGGACCTCTAGTAGCGGAGACCTCTAGCAGCGGAGGTCTAGTAGCGGAGACCTCTAGCAGCGGAAGTCTAGTAGCAGATACCTCTAGTAACGGAGACCTCTAGCAGTGGAGGTCTAGTAGCAGAGACCTCTAGCAGCGGAAGTCTAGTAGCGGAGACCTCTAGTAACGGAGACCTCTAGCACAGAGGTCTAGTAGCGGAGACCTTTAGTAACGAAGACCTCTAGCAACGGACGTCTAGTAGCAGAGACCTCCAGCAGCGAAGGTCTAGTAGCGGAGACCTCTAGTAATGGAGACCTCTAGCAACGGAGGTCTAGTAGCAGAGACCTCTAGCAGGTAGAGGTGAGAGATCTCTAGCAGGTAGAGGAGAGATGACCTCTAGCAGGTAGAGGCGAGATGACCTCTAGCAGGTAGAGGTGAGTGACATCTAGCGGGTAGAGGAGAGCACCTCTACTTCCCATACTTAGTCGTGGGGAGCTTCTTCTACTTTGTAACAGAGAGCACCTCTATTTCCCCATACTTAATCGTGGAGAGCTTTCATACTTAGTCATATAGAGCACTTCTACTTCCACATACTTAGTTGTGGGGAGCTTCTTCTACTTTGTAACAAAGAGCATCTCTATTTCTCCATACTTAGTCGTGGGGAGCTTTCATACTTAGTCACATTGAGCACTTCTAATTCCACATACTTAGTCGTTGGGAGCTTCTCATACTTAGTCACCGAGACATTCAAGTCTCGTCTAGATCTCCTCAGTCGCTCTTCCTCGATTGCGCTTGGACCTCTTCATGATTGACTCCGGTTCACAAGTATGGTTATATCATCTAGTCCCCCCCTAAACTTACTCTACTGCGACTCGAGCTGTAGAGTAAGGCCTCTGGAGATTCTGGCATTTATTAGAGTTAATTATGTATCTGAGTGTACGTTTTTGTTGTTTCGTAATTCTTGTCTATTTTACCCGTAGACTTGTATGATTCAAGGGCTTAAAATTGTTCTAAGCTATAGCATATATGCCTTGTTCCCATTCATAGGATTATTTCAAATCATTAGTTGGTGTTTGGCCCAACCCACCGGCCCAAATCATAAGTCAGCGCCGGTTTTATTTTTTTCTTCTCGTCTTCTCGAGAAATATCTGTAAAGTTCCTTGGGATATTTCTGTCGACTTCTTATCTTCTCGACAAATCATTCAGTCGAGTTAATCTTCCAATTTTGCTTTCCTCCCCTCGCGATTCTCTCGCAATTTTTTCCCAATTCGCGACTCTTTTTTTCTTAATCTTCGTCGCGCAGGCCGATTTGATATTGCTCGCGATTCTTCCCCCAATTCTCGATTTCTTGGTCGCGATTTGTACCTCACCGATTCGTCGAATTTACTCCGTTTGCGATTTCTCTGGTTTTCAATCTCGAATTCCTCCCAGCTCGCGATTCTCGCGTTTCCAGTCATGAATTTGTTCGTGATCTCTCATGTTTGAGTTGCGATTTACCATCAGTTTGCTATTTCTCGAGAATCCTCTGATCGGCTTTACTGCTTTACAAATTTCAGGCTGGTTTTAAGGTCTTGACTTCTCGTCTCGCCGCAATGTGCTCGATTTTTCTTTTTTATCTTAACGACGTGTTAGTCGTGAATCGTGATCTTTGTTTTTCTCGACTCGTGATTTTTGTTCTTCTCGACTCGCGATTTCTTCTTGTTTTAAGTCACAATTTCCGCCGGCGACATACCAGTCGCGATTCTCCGCTCTTAATCGCGATTTGCTGTCAATTCACGACTTGCTTTTGCTCGTATTTTGGTCCAAGTCGAGATTTCGCTCGCCGATTTCTGCAAGATAGTAAGTCGAGGTTCTAATTCCGCGAGATATCAAGTCGAGGCCGGTAGCAAGTCGAGGTTCTGATTCTGCGAGATAGCAAGTCGAGACTGGTAGCAAGTCGAGGTTCTGATTCTGTGAGATAGCAAGTCGAGGTTCTGATTATGCGAGATAGCAAGTCGAGGCTTGTAGCAAGTCGAGGTTCTGATTCTGCAAGATAGCAAGTCGAGACTGGTAGCAAGTCGAGGTTCTGATTATGCAAGATAGCAAGTCGAGACTGGTAGCAAGTCGAGGTTCTGATTATGCGAGATAGCAAGTCGAGGCTGGTAGCAAGTCGAGGTTCTTCTACTTCTCTCAGCGACGTGTTAGTCGTGAATCGTGATTTTGTTTTTCTCGACTCGCTATTTCCTCTGTTTCGCTGTTGTAATCTTGTCTCGCAATGTGTTGGTCGCGATCTCATCGCGATGCGTCAGCCGCGAGTGTGTTCTCTTTTGGTCGCTTTTTTGGGTTAATTCGAGGCGGGTTACAATTCTACTGGGACGCATCAAGGCCTTGGTTTAATCAATTTGCGAGGTGTTGGTCCAAGCCTATTAATCGTGAGGCATCAGTCGAGCTGTGTTAATCTCCGAAAGGTTAGTGGTGATTCTTTCTTTTTGCTGTTGCGATGTCATCTGATTTTCTGTGGTTTATGATTGGTCGTTTGATTCAATCGTTCATCCTTGTTATTCCTTGATTTTCCTGTGATCGTTTCCTGTGAGATCGATGTTCTTGATCCTCGTATCTGATCCCTTCAATTATGTTAAAAACGAGTCTGTACTTGCACTGCTTGCGCATTGTCTTTGATATGCTCGTTTCTTTTGGTTGCTATCTCCATGTTCTCTGGCTCTCCTTATTCGCGATATGCTTAGCTCATGTCTGCTCGTAATTCTCTATGTATCAAGTCGTTTACTAGTGTTTCTCGCCTGTCTATTTGCAATATGTTTATCTGCTCCCTTCATTGATGTGTTTAGCTGCTCGCATCTTTTCTTGCTTCTATATGCATCAACTGGCCATTATGTTAGCCATGATTTCTTTGTGATGCTAGTAGATTGTCTGATGACGTATTAGACAAAGACTTTTCCAAGCTCCACTGTTTTCTTTTTTGATGTACTTACTACTTGTCATGATGCATTTTCCTTTTGACCCTTGTCTTGTTTTTCCATGGGTACTTATCATGTACTTCAGTTCGTTGATCCACACTTTTTTCTCATGGTTACAAATGTGACTCCGTCTCACTCCGATTCGGTAAGCGGCCTGGATCGATGGCCGTAGCTCATTCCTACTTTCTCCCAGTTTAGCCCACTATTCGCTGAAGTTTACCTTTGGGAGTGATTTCATTAGCTTGATTATTGTTGAAGTTATGTAAGGTCTAGATGACGTATAAACAATTTCTCATGTATGATTGTCGTTGCTTCTTTGTAAGGTCGTGCAGACCATAATATTTGTACTCTTCTTTTTGCTCGAGGTCGCGATGACCCATATGTATTTGTACTTGTATTCTGCTCTATGCTTATTTGTGATGTGTTGGTAGCTTGTTCATGCTAGATATCTTTTCATTTGAGTTAGTAGGTCGTGAAGACCATCTGTTTTTTGATCATGAGGTCGCAATGACCATCAAATTGTGTTGACTTCGTTGTCCGTTCATACTGAGGTTCTTATGCTCCGTCGGGTCACACCTTTAACTCTCGCTAGGTCATGATGACCTTTAATTCTTTTTATCAGGTCTCGATGACCTTTAGCTCAAGTTGTGAGTAGATGACTTCTATTCACTTTTATTACATTGAGATGAGTTCTAG